CAGTCGAGGGGACAAGGAACGGGGGAGGGTTGGGGTTCGTGGGGGGCGGGAAGTGGGAGGGCAGGGGCGGGCTAGGGCGGGGCTCCTCCCGTCCTCTTTTTTGCTTGTTGAAATATGGTAACCCTACCTACAAGTCAGTGGTGGTGCTGTGCACAGAACCCAGGAGTCCTGTCCCCCATCCTCCCTGCTCGCCCCACTAGACCCCACACCCCTGCAGAGCCAGGGACAGAACCCAGGAGTCCTGGCTCCCAGCCCTCCCAGCAGAGAAGCCAGGCAGTGAATGGACCCTGGAGACTAGACTGGGCTGTCACCTGCCAAGGAGCAGAGCTCTGGGCCCCCAGGGGCTGGGGTTGCTCCGTGTCTCATGCTGTTAGCCCAGCGCTCAGAGGAAACTCTGGCCCCTGTGTAAAGGCATCCAGGAGCCCGTCCCCAGGGCCGCCGGGTCTGACCCACCACTGAGGCCACATGGTGAGGACAGGCCCAAGGACTGAGTGACGGGGTCTGCGTCTCACGGCCTGTCTGCTTCCCACTGCAGAGCCCAGCTACCCCAAACCCAACATCTCCCTGAGCCCCAGGGGGGTCTCCCTGGGGGGAGCCATGGCTGTCCAGTGTTGGGGGCAGCGCCAGGGAATGCGGTTCGTGCTGAATAAAGATGGACGCCATTTCCAAGCTGTGAACTCGGACAGGTTTGAAGTTGTATTTTCCATCAACATGTCTCGGGAGTACAGTGGGAACTACAGCTGCTCCTATCACAGCAGAACGGAGCCGTTCGCCGTGTCGTACCCCAGCGACCCTGTGGAGCTGGTGGTGAGAGGTGAGGGGCCAGGCTCGGCGTCCCCGTTCCCAGCCCCACCCCCAGCCAGACCCTCACAAGGGCTCGATTCCAATGGGACACTCAGGTCTGGTCTCTGCCCTGAGCCCTGACCCAGCAGAGTGGACGCCAGGCCGGGGAGCAGGGATGGAGTCACTAGAGGGTTTCCAGCTTGGGGGAGGAGCAGCAGCTGGAGATTCAGGGCTGACGGGGGGGATTTCTGCCCCCTGGTCTGGGCGGGGGTGGAATCCACCATTGAACCAGCCATGGAAACAGGTCATGGTGCCTAGGGGCTGGGGCTGGTTGAGGTTATGGGGGCAGTAACTCTGGGTGGGTGGGGCCCAGACATGAGTGGGAGGGGCAGCCCCCTGCCCCTCACTCACTACCAGATCCCCAGCCCCCCCAATGCCTCCTGCCCTGCAGGTCGCTGCCTAGAATCTGCTGGGGGATGCCAGGGGAGGGGCAGGATCTGGGGGGCTGGACTGTGAAATTGGGACCAACTAGGTGCCATAGTCCTGGGGCAATAACCCCCCTTCTTGGGCCACATGACATCCCGCTGGCAATAGGAGTGAGTATTACCCAGAATTCCCTCTGTTCTTGCTTCCCCTCCCCCCAGTGGGGTCCCAGGGGACCCCTGAGCCTTCCCGCAGTAGATGTTCTGTTGCCTCTGGCTGTGCCCTGGTCCCCAGGGCCCTGGCCACCGCCCGAGGGTGGGGGGCAGCTATTGAAGTACCAGTTTCTCCCCCCCCCCGTGCGCACTGCCTGGCTGTGTTTGGCAGCAGCTGAGATACCCCGGGGACAGGCTCACCTCACAGCAGACAGGCCGGGGCAGAGGCACCTGTGGGGGTGGACAGAGGGATCCTATGGGGACAGGGAGCTGGGGTGGTTCCCAGTTCTGGGGGGTTAAGACACTGAGGCTCTGATTGTCCCCATCCCCTGGCCCAGTGCTGGGATGCCGGGTGTCTTGGGGCAGTTCATCCACCTGGGAGCCCCCTTCACCGGGGAAACTGAGGCTCAGCCCCCCGGGGCAGTAGGATGCAGCCTCCCCTGAGGGGGTCTGGCCCCAGGGAGGCCCTAGAGCCGCAGCACTTGGGAGACCCTAGAGGGGGCTGGGCTGGACCTGCCGGACGGGTGGTTGGGGGCTCCGATCCCAGGGTAGCACCAGCTGCTGATTTCCCCGTCTGAGCCACCGAGTGACTTTACTCTTACCCCGCAGCAGCCCCCCTGGATTTCACCAATGCCAACATCGCCCGCCTGGCGCTCGGTGCCGTGGTCCTGCTCATCTTGGGGCTGATCCTGGCTGAGGCCTGTTATAGCCGCCCAAGGGGGCACCCTAGGTGAGGTGACCCCCCCCTTCTGTGCCCCTTGCTCCCCCCAGCGGCTGGGCTGAGGGTGACACGGGCCCCTCTAACGCACCGTCTCTCTGCACCCCAGGAGCCTGAATCCAGCCATGCAGGGAAGAGAATCTCCCTGGGGGACAAGTGGCTTCCCCGTGGGGTGCTGAGACACCGGCACAAACCCCCTGCCCCCAAACACCCCTGCCTTAGAGAATCTTCCCCCACAAACAGCTCTCGACCTGACAGCAGCACCCCAGGATTGAACCCCCGATGCCGTGTGTGACGTTGCACTCCATACATTTATGGAAATATGCTTATGAGTGTAACTATGATGTAACTGGAATATGCTTTATGCAAAAGGTCTCTTGTAAGGTATCATTACAAAGCTTATGATCTACTGAGTGTGTTCATCCTATTCGTATGAATGTATCTTTCTTGCATCTAAAACTAGAAATATGAAAAGCAAGAGAGAGTCCTGTGGCACCTTTAAGACTAACAGATGTATTGGAGCATGCATCTGACGCAGTGGGTATTCACCCACGAAAGCTTATGCTCCAATACATCTGTTAGTCTTAAAGATGCCACAGGACTCTCTCTTGCTTTTTACAGATCCAGACTAACACAGCTACCCCTCTGATACTAGAAATATGAAGTTAACTCTGAGGTCCTCTTGTAATCATGCAAAGTGTGGGCCATTAATGGTGGTTTAGAATCTTGATGGCTCCCATTGACTAGGATGAGTTACTGTAGATGGCTCTGTTTTCCTGCAAGCCTCCACTGCATATCTGTGGGGCAATCCTGAAAGAATGGAGGGGGGCTCATGGGACATGTGATCATGTCACAGGATACTGGAATCCATCTTTAACCTGGTGCTTTTCCATGTAGAAGGAGGAGTGGGAACACACAGAGAGATAAAAGATTCCCCCTGTGCCAAAGCTATAAAAGGGGGAGGAACAGAACAAAGGGGGCCAGTCATGAGAAATCCCCTAGTTACCACCTGAGCTGGAGCTAACAAGGACTGTACCCGGGGAAGGGATGGGCCCAGACTAGGAAGGAGTCTAGTCTGTGAAAGAAGCTCATTGGAACATCTCTGAGGGTGAGATTTATCTGTATTCAGTTTCTTAATATATTATGCTTAGACTTGAGTGTTTTTGTTTTAATTTGGTTGGTAACTTACTTTGTTCCCTCTGTTATTACTTGAAACCACTTAAATCCTACTTTTTATACTTAATAAAATCACTTTTGTTTATTAATTGACCCAGAGTAAGTGATTAATACCTGGGGGAGCAAACAGCTGTGCATATCTCTCTATCAGTGTTATAGAGGGTGGACAATTTATGAGTTTACCCCGTATAAGCTTTATACAGAGTAAGATGAATTTATTTGGAGTTTGGATCCCATTGGGAGCTGGGTGTCTGGGTGCTGGAGATAGGTGACCTGCTGAGCAGTTTTTGGATAAAGTCTGTAGCTTCGGGGTGTGGACCAGACCTGGTCTGTGTTGCAGCTGGCTAGCATGTCTGGCTCAACAAGGCAGGGTTCTGGAGTCCCAAACTGGTAGGGAAACCAGGCTCAGAGGTAATTTCAGCACATCAGGTGACAGTCCCAAGGAGGTCTCTGTGACTGAATCCATCCCAGTGGCGTAGTCGAGCAGGGTCTGTGCACAGCTGATTTCTTTGAGACACTGGTAGTGATTTTAAGTGAGTTTTAAGTGTGGTGGCCAGAGAACAGACAAAGTGTTTAGTGGTTTGTTGTTTTCTGTTTGCTTATTTTGGGTAAGGGAAATAGGCACAGAAAAGTAAGCGAAATAAGTAAGAGAGAAGCTCAGAAGAAGCTAGAACTGCACAGGTTGCAGAGTGCCCAGAAAGGCTAAACACTGAGCGCTGGGAAAAAAGTCCCAGTTAATTGAGAAGCCCCTGAGCTGAGTGAATCTCAAATTCAGTGAACTGCAGAGAGACGTGGCCCAACCTCTTGGTCTGTGCTGAAGCTACCTGGAATGTCTAACTCAGCAAGACAGGAGTGAAGAGGCAGCTGTACTGGCAGGAGGGTTGTTCTCAGTGGTATCCCAGGCCCTCAGGTGACAGTCTCGAGGGGAAACAAATGGAAATTGATGCACAGTTTGCCCGGGAAAAGGCTGCCATGAAGGCAGAAGCAGCCAGACAAAGGGCTGCACACCAGCAAGCACTGAACTTAGAAGACAAAGAGATCGAAGCACTGAAAGCTACCCAGGAGGAGAAGAAAAGAGAACTGGGTAGCAGATGCCCTGTCCAGAAAACCGGAATCTTAGGTATCGTGTCTCTGCCACAGACAGTGTCCAAGTCTCTGGCAGTAAGTTCAGGAGGAAGGTGTGATGTTGAACTCAATAATGTTTTATGGAAATATGCTTATGAGTGTGAATATAATGTGACTGGAATATGCTTTATGCAAAAGGTCTCTTGTAAGGTATCATGACAAAGCTTATAATCTACTGAGTGTGATCATCCCATTTGTATGAATGTATCATTTTTGTATCTGAAACTAGAAAAATGTAGCATAACTCTGAGGTTCTCTTGTAATCATGCAAAGTGTGGGCCATTAATGGTGGTTTAGAATCTTGATGGCTCCCATTGACTAGGATGAGTTACTGTAGATGGCTCTGTTTTCCTGCAAGCTCCACTGCATATCTGTGGGGCAATCCTGAAAGAAGCGAGAGGGCTCACGGGACATGTGATCATGTCACAGGATACTGAAATCCATCTTAAACCTGGTGCTTTTCCATTTAGAGGGAGGGGTGGGAACACAGAGAGACAAAGGATTCCTGCCTTGTGCCAAAGCTATAAAAGGGGATGGAACAGAACAAAGGGGGCTGCCAGTCATGAGGAATCCCCTAGTTACCACCTGAGCTGGAGCTAACAGGGACTGTACCAGGGAAAGGATTGGGCCCAGACTAGGAAGGAGTCTAGTCTGTGAAAGAAGCTTATTGGAGCATCACTGAGGATGAGATTTACCAATATTCAGTTTAATATATTAGGCTTAGACTTGCGTGTTTTGTTTTATTTTGCTTGGTAACTTACTTTGTTCTCTCTGTTATTACTTGAAACCACTTAAACCCTAGTTTTAATAATTAATAAAATCACTTTTGTTTATTAATCAACCCAGAGTAAGCGATTAATGCCTGGAGGAACAAACAGCTGTGCATATTTCTCTATCAGTGTTATAGAGGGTGAACAATTTATGAGTTTACCCTGTATAAGCTTTATACAGAGTAAAACTAATTTATTTGTGGTTTGGATCCCATTGGGAACTGGGTGTCTGGGTGCTGGAGAGAGGAATACTTGCTGAGCTGTTTTCAGTTTAGTCTACAGCTTTGGGGTGTGGACCAGACCTGGGTCTGTGTTGCAGTGGACTAGAGTGTCTGGCTCAACAAGGCAGGGTTTTCTGAGGTACCAAGTTGGCAGGAAAAACGAGCTCAGAGGTAATTTCAGCATGTCAGGTGACAGTCCCAAGGGCATCTCCATGACCAAACATGTCACCGCGTATTTACACAGAGCTTTGAGTAATTCATTTAAATCACACTACAGAATTATATTTCCTGCACCTGTCAGAAGCAGCACAAAGCCATGGGGGACTCAGGGGTAACAGAGAAGCTGAGGGACAGGGAAGGAGCCTAGGAATGAAACTGGAAGGGGTTGGGTGTGGGCGGGAGAAGGGTTTTTTGGTGGAGGGGGATTGTTAGGGATCTGGGAAGCCTCCCCCATGCAGACCCTGTCTCACCTCAAGCCTCTCCCATTCAGTCAGGCACATCAGCCCCTGTCCCCACAACCCCCATATGTCCTTGCAGGCCCCTTTCCCCATCCCCAGACTCAATGCTGTCACCCCACTAGCTCCTGAGCCCCAGTCTGTTACCCCCCAGCAGCCCTGGGTGCCCCACTCTGCCCTAACCTGGCTCTGCGGTAGGTTCTGTGATGAACTTCTGCTCCTGGGGGAATTCTGCAGCACGGGGCAGGCAGAGAAATTTGTTCCCCACAGAAAATACATTCTGCCCCAGAAGTGCTGCAGTTCCGCCTTTTGCCCACCAGGGGCCGCTGTGGAGCCAGAACAAAGGGCTGTGTTCATGCTGCTGGGTGGTCTGGCGCCACAACGGCCTCTGGTGGGCAAAAGGTGGAACTTCAGCACTTCTTGGGCAGAATGTATTTTCTGCGGGGGAAAAGACAAAATTAAGCAGAACAGCTGAATTGTGCTTGTTCTAGGGTTGCCGACCCTCCAGGATTGGCCTGTAGTTTCCAGAAATTAAAGATTAATCTTTAATTAAATATTATGTCCTGTGATGAAATCTCCAGGAATACATTCAACCAAAATTGGCAACCCTAGCCTGTTAGCCCTGGTGCTGTCCTAGGACTGGGCGCTAAGGGCAGGTTACAGACACACGGGGAGGGGTTTGTGTCTCCCCAACTCACTCCTGTTTGTGTGTGAACGCAGAGCTCCCTGCGCCGGGACCCTCCATCTCCGTCAGCCCCAGCGGGGTGATCGCCCTGGGGGGAGCCGTCACCATCCGCTGTCAGTGTCGGTGTGAGGCCAGGAGGTTATTTCTGTTTAAAGATGGATGCCGAATCCAGGAGCTAGATGCTATGGGGATGGGGGTAAATTCACCATCCCTAGCGCCAGATAGGAAGGGAATTACAGCTGCCGATCTCGCTCCAGATTAGAGCCACCCAGCTGGTCAGATCCCAGTGATTACGTGCGGATTGTTGTAGCAGGTGAGAGGTCCAGGTTGGCATCCCCACTCCCAGCCCTACAGCCTGCCAGATGCACAGGGGTCTCTGGGCCAATGGCAGGTTCAGAGCCAGGCTCTCACCTAAGACTGTGGCCCAGCAGGGGGACTCCCAGGTGAGTATCAGGGACTGAGTAAAAGGGGGGTTCCCCAGCCCCTGGAGATTAGGGGATGAGGGATCCCTGCCCCCAGGCGACCTTGGGGTGTCACTTAACCTGCCTGTGCCTCCATTTCCCCTTGTACAAATGGGGGATAATTATCCCTCCTGCACCTTGTGGCTGGTTAGATCGTCAGGGCTTGGTTCTAGGGCGGGGCTTTTTCTCCCCGTGTCTGTGCAGCACCCAGCACCTCTGACTCCCAGCCCCCTCCCGGTCTAACCACTAGACCCCACTCCCCTCCCAGAGCCAGGGATAGAACCCCGGAGTCCTGGCTCCCAGGCTGCGGGGCCCCATTAAGTAGATAGATGGGTACAGAGGGATGCTCTGGATTTTAGGCAGTTTTGGGCATAGCTCCCAGGAATCTCTGGGATCTCGGAAAGATTCCTCTGGCTGGGTTTTCTCCCAGGGGCCCCGTCTCTGGGACCGTGCGAGGATGGGGCGCAGTGACTGTGCCGGGGTCTGTCTCACGGCCTGTCTCCTTCTCACTGCAGAGCTCAGCTACCCCAAATCCTCCATCTCCCTGAGCCCCAGCATGGGGGTCGCCCTGGGGGGAGCCATGACTGTCCGGTGTCGGGGTCGGCACCAGAACGCGAGGTTCCTTCTGTACAAAGATGGAAACCGG